TGCATTACATAAAAAGTATTCTGGAATGGGGAAAGTAAAAAGTTGCTTCTCTTTTCATAGTTCTCACTTGTTTTGTGCATTTTTCTATTATAATTCATTTTTTATTAGCATACGTGTTGCCAGAGCACATCATAAAAAAGTGCTTTCCTACATTTTTTTGCGATTTTATCCTTCCTTTCCCAGGCGAAAGTTACATACTGTATGGTATCCTGAATGTTTGGTAGGCAAGCTCTTAGTATATAGATATCTAGAGCCAACCAAAGTTATTCAGGAACGTCCGTTGTGAAATTATTGGTCACTACACACAGCCCAGGTCACTTATGTTGGTCTATGCTATTACTCAGCTTTCGGTTGTGGTCTCCAATAGTTTATTAATTTCACTAATCGCTATGTCAGTTTTAGTACATAAAATCTGCTTTGGTAGTGAATCGATTTCTTGGTAAGCGTTAACCACTACATTTTACGATTACAAGCATGCGGACTCATTATAAATTTCATTATTCCTCACGACCCATTCAACATTAGCCTTCTTGATGTATGATGTTGCAATACATTTTATTCGCTTCCATTCTACGAACTGATTGCACATTTCTGATAAGTTTGTCACTTGGACGTTTTATTTTTCTTTACCATTCTCTTTTTCAGCTTATAGTTCACTACCAGTTCGTGATGTCTTTGTTCCTCTTTATTTTCGCTTTTACGGAATGAAATTTTAAGAAAATTGAGCTAATTTTTAAGCTTGAAAAGAAAACTTTTACTTAAAGTATGCTTTCTTATTTAATCAGACTTTGCATACCATATTCATATACATATCTTACTCATTCTGACAGGATCCTGCGAAAGATACTTTTACTTTCGACATTCGCGAAGGTGGCCTCACTGTCCTTCATTCCGTTTGGGCTGATGAAGTGCAAGCATTCGCTAAACAACTCTCTGAGGCTAGCAAATATGGCTATTCTGGCCTTCGATCTGCCTTTCTTTTAAATGCGGGCAACTGCACCTCCACAAGTGCCACCTCTGGTTGCATCTCAAATTCAAATCTTCCCAAAGACGCATCCTCCAGACTTTCTATATCCTCTGCCAATCAGGGCTTCAATCGAAAGCGACAAGGCCAATCACTCGGCCTCTATTCACTTCCTTTCCAAATAGAAGATATTGTTTCGCCTGACGGCTATTCTATTCCCTTTAAACTACTCACTCGCCTGGATAGTCTCCGTTTGGTACGACTTTCTGAAATTCCCTGGCACTCTCGACACGACTACTGGCTGCTGGCGGGAATTGTTGTACATGGCTATGCGTGCTGGAATCAGATTCTCTCTGATCCACGTTTCAGTCTATTGGTAAAGGGCCTAGAAAAACTGCCTAAAGGTACATTTTGTGTCGTGTAATAGTGTATTGAATATTGCTTATTTTTGCGATTTGATTAATCAACTTTCTTTTTTAACAGTGGTGCTTCATATTTAAGCACTTTTCATATTATACATTTTATCATTCCAGGCCAATATTTCAAGCTAGTGGCCCTATCATTAAGATGTTCAATTGAATCACGAAGCGCTTATGGGAAAATCTTGATTGCATCTGACTTATTTTATATTTTAGCATATTTGCTTGTAGATTGCAGCTTTATAGCCATCTCGAGGTACCTGAATATTTTAATCTCGTAAAAGCCATATTGGATAATTATGACGCCCTTAGCGTTTGATCCCTCTCATGTCAATTAAACTTGAGTATCTCATGCCACTTCACAGTAACTGAAGTAAAATTTTCCTATACAAAATCGAAATATTTTATTCCTAGTTTGATTTCATGCTCTCTTTCCATTAAAGAAAATTTTAAATCTATATTATCGAAATTATTGAGCTTATTTTTCAAGAATAGTACTTGCTTCTCTATATAGTTTCTCACCTTTATTCACTTCGTATTCTTGCCCTGTTGGTATCCTGTATTCCAAATCGCCCTATCACTGCCTACACACCTTTTTCTATCAGCTGATCACCAT